GATCTTACGATCCTATTATTGCAATAACTTCATTTCTGTTGACTTTAGTGTACAATTTGCCACATAATTGATTTTAATGAGTAATGGATAAAATCTAAATTAAGATTACACGTGCAATTAAAAGGACTGACCTTTCTCTCACTGTCATCGTCCAGTTTAATGGAATCTTTCTGGAGTTCAGCCATAAGATCATTAGTGGCCATGAACCTAAAGTCCTTGTCACTTGATGTCATCTTCAAAAAAATAATTATAAATGAAAAATGAAATCCAGTGACAAATGTAGTAACTTATTACTGCAGTTCTACAGTAGTATAGTTGAACCCCCACTAAAATTTGTACATGTAACAACCTTCCCATCTACATAAAAAGCTTGAAATCATTTCATATTAATTTTTTATCACAAGAATAAAAAATATTTATCATGATTTATAACACTTATATTACACTACAACTAAAACCAGGTCAAGCGTGCCCCCCAAAATTTCATTAATGAATTTATTATCCAAAAGTTGAGTCTGTTGGCAGTTGTAGATTTCAGATTCATTCCAACATTCTTGCATTTATAATGAGCTGTGAATTCACATGCGATTGTCTACCAGCTCAGTTTCCCCGAATTTGATGTAAATGTCTTCTAAGAATTTTAATTCATTCAAAGATTTTCAATCTGACCAAATACAAACAAGTTCTCGTAAATTATTCACTGCTCATTACGCGTGCAGTAATTCCGATTTGAATTTGACAACAGTTATGGGAACGACTAACAGATTCATTTTTCAAATAATCAATTCATTAATAGAATCTTGGGGGGTACACTTGACCTGTTTTGACTGTAACTTCACGCAATTATCTAATCAGAATGAGTAAAAGCTGTACATGTGTTGATTATGTATGTGTTAATTATTTTTATACATTTTAACCAGCAGGGCTTTTCTTGTTAAGCCTAAAATGGTTTGTCAAGAGTCCCTGCCCTTATCTGTCTTAAATGTATCTATGTAAAAAGACTTTATTGTAGATCACAAATAAAACTTTGAAACTTTGAAGCTGCCACCCTCAGGATACTGGCAAGTAGCCACTTAAAATATAATGTAGAGGTTCATCATAAATTTGCATAATCTTTAGCAGATTTGAGACAAACACATGGTGGAAGCAGCATCACTGGTCCACACAATTCGTCACCTTCTAACTCAGTATGTATTTTCCTTTATCTTTATTTTTTAAATAAAGCCAAAGTAAGTATATCAAGCACTTGATGGAAAACCTGAGATCAAAATTTGAATTCTCATTTGTTGCCCCTATTCATTTCCTACAAAATTAGTAGGAAGAAATTGATAAAATATCAAGCAAATTCATCTTCTGTGATCATGTCCATGATTCTCATGACCTCTCTGTTTTACAAAGCATTGATATTACAAGGAGAAATTTCATACTGATCACTCTAAGGGCTTATGGTGTTAATAGAGATTATGACAATGGGAGAACTGTTATCGAGATGGCCAAACGATGGCTGTGGCCTCTTGATGAGGGTGGCCTTTAATAAAGGCAACAACAGTTCAGTGTCTGCTTAATAGAGGTTTTTTAACAACATACAAATACAACTTATCTGAGTATCCACGTCCACTTAATAAAGGTGTCTGCTGAATAGGGGTTCATTATAAAGGAAAATATAAGACATTGATTTCGGGACCCAACTTAGTGTCTGCTTAATAGAGGGTGTCCACTTAATTGGGGGTCCACTTAATAGAGGTTTCACTGTATAAGCAAAAAGTAGTTTCGGCCGCCATGTTGGAGGGCAAGAGTATGCCTTCCAACATGGCGGTCAATACAAATCATACTACTTTGTTGAAAAATCAAAGTGCCATAAAATATTTCCCTTAAATGCATTTCCTCTCAAACTGCAGATGTAAGATAATTTTTATGTGCTCTGTCAATTTTTGGCATCAGTAAGATTCCAACGCGTTGTTTGAAGGAAGTGTTCTTCATGTGTTCTCTTAGTGCAAGTGGCCTATTCTCTGACTAACGTTCAGTAGCTTATGACTATTTTTTATTCAGATGTTGAGCCTCTTTCAAAATATTCTCCTGTAACGTTACCCCTTTCTTCCGCTACAAGGATTCGTAATGAAAACCCTGTTTACAATTCTTTTGTACAACTATTCTGGGACATTGATTACTGGCAACTTAAAAGAGGGTGGCTCCTAAACTCCACTGATGGAGGTTCGATTGTGCGCAACAGACACATGTCAGTATGTAACTCATATGTTTATAGGAAAATAATGGAAAACAGAGGCATTTATTTTATGACAAAATCACTGGTCCAAGGAATCCTTTAAAACAACAACAACAACATCAACAGTCACTAGAGTTTTCAAACAAGTGCTACAAAACGTCAGCACTTCTAGAAAGGTCACGTACTAGAAATATAAGCAAGTCTCTCAGCTCTTCACTTTCGATCTTATTTTTCCGCAAAGACTCAGTGTAGCTTTGATTTCACAGTCACAGGTATCAAAATACTTACAAAAGAGAATAACACCCAAGTCAACGCCAAAGCGGAAATTTTCAAAACAGTAACATGACATAATGACAGTTGAATTGTTGTGCAGCGTGCAGCTTATTAGCTGCACGAGTTCGTGGGTGTACACGAGTACACTGTACAACAAGTCCAGCCAAACTACAATTCACCTTACCTTGTCCAAAAGAGATGCTATGTGGTACGGTGAGGTCGACATGATGGAAAATCCTATCCAGTCGAGAAGTGACAGCTTCTTAAATTAAGATTTAAAGGAAGAATGTTCGCTGATCAATTTCTTCCACCTCGGGATTGTGATCAGTGCGCTTGTCTTGTAGCATCTACCCGCTGGTATACTGCTGTTTCGGGATAAAGCCAATTTGTTCCCAGGGTTCTTCTTGGCTCGTCCACTTTGATCTAATGTTTTGGGTATCCTGTGCTGGGAATTCTCTCCAGGATACAGGGAGCCCAGGAGCAATTGTCCTCTATGGCTCACGGGATTTGCTGACTTGTCCATTTTTTTTTTTTTTTTCAATTTCCTCAACTTTTCACGGGAAGCAGCCTCAATATCAGGCGAAAGCACTTACATCCCCTATACAGGGACTAAACTTTGTAAAAGAAAACTGTTTTGTGAGGCCAAACATTTCTAATCCAAAGCAATTTAATTAAGATTCGTAATGCTAACTTTATCAACAGGCGTTTTTACGACAAAGTTAGTATCTTAGTGTCAGAGAAAGACAAATTAATATGAGCCTAGATGTGTTAGCAAGAGTCTATATTGGTCTGACGGCTCTGGAACCGATACAACAGGCAAAATAATCAATGACTTGGAAAATAAATGATTAGATTTAGGACGCATCTCTTTCTTCTTATTTTATGTGGGTATTTTTTTTTTTGTAGAGGAAGGTCAGTTTTGATGGTGACAAGAACATGGAATGATTTTCTCTGTAATCTAAATCTTGTTTTAAACAAATGGTTTCAGTTTTTTGCTTGCATTGCGCACTATAGTCGATTACATCAGTCATAGGCAATACAGCATAAAGTCTTTTAATGAAAGAAGACACTGCAGGGATCAGTCAGAGAATGAATCAGTCAGAATGCCTGGGAGTGAGGAATTGAAAAAAAATACCAGAGAAGGAAGCCGGGGAGACTGAAAAAGAACGGCAAGTAAAATAGGTTGTGACGTCATTTTGATGACTCCGTTGATGATAACTAAGCACATGGTATACGATTGTTTAAATGTTTGTCTGATATCAATAGCTGTGGTGGCCGTTTTTCGATAATTTTTCCACATCCCATGCGCTTTCTAATCTACGATTCTTCTAAAAGTCGTGTAAAAAAACAATAATTGTGAGATCGCGACAACAAACGCTGTGGAGATGAGAGTTTAATCAGCCGCCGTACAAGATCACTCGCTGCACGAAGATTTAATTGTAATTGTCTTTTAGTGGGAAAAACATGGCTGTTAAAACATTTCTCGTTGCAATTATCCACTCGGAATTAGCTCAGGTAACAATGTTTGGATAGCAGTTTATCAAAAGTAAGTTCTATTTTGAGTTTGTTTAGAGTCACTGTAGACCTAACCTGGGGAGTGAAATTTGAAAAAATAAACTCAAGAAAATCGTTGGGCATTTAGTAGATAAGCTTGGAAATTTGTACATGAATAGAACAGTAACTTAGAAATATTTAGCCTTCCTTAAATAAAAGAAAATTCTAGGCAATATCATTCAGTTCTCCGAACAGATAGTTTACAGAAAGCAGTCTTTGGGTGCCCCTACGTTGGTCCAACTCTAGTTTCTAGTTTTGATACCATGGCCAGCAGCGAGGACCGAGGAGAAACAGCTGGAGAAACGGCTGTTTTCGCAGACTTCGCCATCCTTTGCAACAAACGACTGGAAACAGTTTCAATGCTTAGTTTAGTCTTATGCCGACGGGGATAATTTTTGGAATACACATATCATGACGTGAAGATAAGTTTTACAGCCAGTAATTAACGTGACATGGCACCTTAAACCTATCTTAACTTTATAAAACATTACTTCAGAAAACGAGTCTGTTATCTTCACAAAGTGCTTACACTATATTTATAATTTTGCGGATTAATATCTTTTATTTTCATACGTAAAATCGGATTACATTTTGTTAGATATCTAAAGGTACTTTTCACTGCACCGAAAAAAAATCATACTATGATAAATTTGCAACCTTAACCTTAACCTTAATTGGATCTCCAAAAAAGTGCGCGTTGAGTACAAGTCGTGATCGGACGTGTGTGTTCAATCTTGACGTACATTTGTATTTTTGAAATATTCATGTAAACAGCGCAAGCTCTCTTGATGAGCCCTTTAGGCTCTTAGAGTAAATGTTGCAAAAAAAAAGTTGCAATAACAGTCTTCCTTATGTCGTTTAGCAATATTTCTGTGTAAGCCTAACTTCTTATCAAGCACCCTGAATTTTCAAATAGAAAGAAACTTGAATCCATTCTTTTAGCTCGGCTTCAAGCTTGCGGGGGAGGCATTTCTTCCACGTAAATTCGTGACACTGAGTTCCAGCCCGTATAACCATCAGCACTTCCATAGCCTGCGCAGTTGCCAATCCAGAATCCAACTCGCACAGTACCTTTGGCGATGTTCTCACAGACTCCTTCGACGTGACGCGGGCGAAGCAAATTCTGTGTCCCTTGTCCCTTCCACATGTAGACCACAGCATCAATAGCTGCTGGGCCTGAGCATTCTGCTTCATTAAAGGTGAAATACCATCGCTTGCAACAGCTGTCGCAGTTATAGATCCGGAGCTGGCCACTGAAGTAGACTCGCAGACTTGAGTTGTCTGACGTTTTCTCGAAAGTACATTCCTATTTGAAAGGAGACGAAACAACAATTACCGTAAAATTCCGAAAATAAGCCCCGGGGCTTATATTTTTCAAAGGCCCTTTTTGAGGGGCTTATTTTTGGATGGGCTTATATTCGGAAGGGCGTATCTACGGATGGAAATTTGCGTTTCAAATCGATTGGGCTAGCAAGTAAATTTACCGTTTTTGCTTTGTTTTACTTTGTATTTGAGGGCAATTTTGCAAGTACAAGCCCTCGGGGGGCTTATATTTGGAAGAGCGATTTAACGGAGGGTTTTTTGCGTTGCTGGATTGGGGGGCTTGTATTTGGAGGGGCTTATACATGGAGGGGCTTATTTTCGGAATTTTACGGTATGTTTACACCAACAACAACAACAACAACATAAGCTTTATTTGCATGACTATAATTATGTAGTTACAGTATTGCAAAAGCTTTAACATAAAAAAAAAACCAAACAAACAAACAAATCATAACAATGATAATGCAATGCAATGATTACTATAGTCAATAAAGTGTCATCAGCATGATTTGATAACAAATTATTACGTAAATCATTACATAATGAGACAAATTTCAACAAATGTGAATTCACGGAAAAATTCTGTGAATTCATCAATTTAATTATTAATTCTGTGTAAGATAGCTGATTAAAGTCGACAAAATTTTGTTGGATTTGATTGTAGAATTTCTCCCTTGGGATTGAGTATTTTGGACAATGGAAGAGAAAATGAAATTCGTCTTCAATTATACCAGAGTTACAAATAGGGCAGAATCTATCGTTGCGGGAAGTTTGATTATATCTTCCAGTTTCAATCATGAGTTTGTGGTTACTTATACGAATTTTCACTAAATCTTTCCTATTAGCAGAATTTCTAATTAAGTCTAGATAACTTGAAATTTTATAATCATGTTTAAATAAGCTGTAAAATTGTAGTTTCTTAGAATGATGGATTGTATGTTGCCAATATGCAATATATTTTTGTTTTATTATATCTATATAGTGTTTGATCTTAGCTTCACTTAAATTATTAGGATCAAAATCGGGGAGGTCATAACATTCACCATAAAATTCGTGGACTACTGTAGATCCTGTGATTGTTAGGAATGTAACCGAAACATTTCATGATGACGCGATATTAAGATAGGTCACTGAGTCATTCAGAATCAAATTGAGGAAGGTCAACGGAAAACTCCAAAAGGGATTGGAACTGCATGTACGTCCGCATCCAAGGAACTGTTGTAACCCCTATAACCCGGTTTACGAAGGTTTCAGTGTTACCGTTCTGATGAAAGCATCTAGGTTGCGTGTACTTTTCTGAGTAGTGACGATTATTATCCTGCATGAGGAAGTCTAACGTTTTAGTCTATGTAATGATGTGACCCATTCAAGTGAAAGCTACTGAGCAGTGCTGTCCTATGGTACTATTTATTATGCTGTACAAGGTAGTTCAAATTTTTTAGTTTGCTGGATGAAATCCTGTGGTGTCAGCTGTGGTGTGACCATTCAGATGAAAGCTACTGAGCACACTGTGTATTATGCTGTAACGGTTGTTCTATCTTTTAAGTCTGTTGGATGAAATTGCCTATGGTGTGTTCAAATAAAAGCTACTGAGCAGTCTTTCCTGCTGTACTGTATATCTTGCTGTACAGGGTGGTTCTAACTTTTGCTGCGAACTGCAGTCCAATAAAATTGAATACATATAAAAACAGTCTGGAAGAATGAATATCCACCGTGTTGATAACTTGAGCTTTTACCTCGATCAATCCATTGTCCTTGCCGTCGTTCAGGTTTGGAAAAACGCATTGCTTCCAATTACGCACTAACAGTCCTGGATCTCCCTTGGGACCCGGGGGACCTTGATCACCTGTATCACCCTTCTTTCCAGCTCCACCCGGGAGTCCCGGTGATCCTGCGGGGCCTGCGGGGCCTGCGGGACCTTCGGCTCCAGGAGGACCTGCATCACCCTTGCACCCACGTGGACCCGTGGGTCCTTGAGGTCCATAATTTCCAGGTAATCCCGCAGCACCCGGTGGGCCCACGGGTCCCTGGATTCCTGGGACACCGGGAATTCCAGGAGCACAACTCACAGACTCTCCACAAGAGCAATTTGTTGGTTTGGTGTGCATGGGAAGACTCTAAGCGAATAAATAATAAAAAAAAGAAATCGTCATTTATTTTTTACTTGAAACAAAAGCTATTTCGTGACAATGGGCAACAAAAGCGCGCAGTTGTTTTCAGCGTTTTGCTAACCATGAATCACACCTGCCTTAATTGCAACATATTAACGTAATGCGGATTTGTTGAATGACAGGTTTGATTCCTGTGCGTAAATACGCGCAAAAAAGCTTTCCAACTCATTTCGCTGCTGTTGCACGACGACCCGTTTACCGTAGTTAATTCTTTACATCAGTAATTATATGATAATTTGCAGTAAAGCAAGACAAGCTAGATAACGAGTCGCTTGATGGCCGCACATGAATAATACTTTTGTGAATTACTCAAGAGCCGTCGACTGAAATATTTGGCAGCAGTAAGCGTTCAGTTCGCAAAACACATTATTTTATTATACCAGGAATTTTCCCTACTTTGTTTGCATCATCATGATAACCAGTTACTGTTAACCAAATTTGGAAGAATTTTGCCATATTAAACCGATGACGTCAAATGTGCATCAAAGTTGCAGATTATTGTAGTCTCTCCTCTAAGGCTATGTTTACACTATGTCAGATAGCTTTTCGTGCCGGGGGGGGGGGAGGGCGCTCCCTTAGAAAAGCCATATAGGTGTGTGCCGCCCCAAAGAGTTGGGGTTTTTGCGCCGTTTTGGTCTGAAGACTGGTATACATTTTGCCCATTTTGGTCTGGAATCGGGTATGTTTTTCGAGAGAAATACGGAAGTGTATGAACGTATCTATCGGTGCAATTCCAAATGAATAAGAATGAATTGGAAATATTCGAATTTGAAATTCATTTGAAGAAATTATTTGTTTGCGCTCGAATCTACGAAATATTAACATAATTTCTGCCCAAAGGATCACTTAAAAATTTGATCAAACCATCTCACCTCATTGTTACTGATTTCTCCATTCGCAGAACTCAAAGGGATCAGAAATAACAGCGCCAAGTATAACATAGTGGCCTCCACTGATACAGAATGGTAAGATTGTGGAATCTGTGAAATGAATTATATTCAGAACGCGTGACGAGTCGAGACGAGTTTGACGCACATTAA